TTTTTCTGCCTGGCAAAGGCTATGGCAGGGCAATGTAACTCATCTCCTGAGGGAATTCTAACCAAGAATTAGCCTGCAAAACATCTCAAGTGGTAAGGGATTTACCCACTGTTCTAAGGCAGGAAGGCTTAAGCAAAATAGGTCTCTGTCTGAAAAGCCTTTCCGGAAACAACATTGCAAGAAGTAAGACAAATTAAGTAGAAACAAACATGACAATGTAAGGAGCAGGCTTGACAACTACTATGTTCAGAACGAGAAGAGGTCTGAGGGCAGGGCCAAAGGGTGGGCATTAAACTATTTTTATGTACATACAACCTAAGCCCCATGTGTCTTCAGGACTTGCCAGGACAAAACTTTCTACATATTTTGCTAACTATAAAGAATAATTAATTTCAATTTGACATGGATCTGACTACAATTTTCCAGTTATCAGGGTGCAAGTTTAAAGAGGCATTTTTATGCTCAAGGGATGCTGTAACCATTGACATACTTTTGGTCAGGACCTTTGGTAACATGGAAACTCTGAAGGCAAGACTTAGAGCTGTAAGGACAATTATACTTCCAGCAGCCTGTACACTGGGCTAGTCCCACTGCACCGTATTACTATGTTGCTTGCAAATCATGATTCTCTTTTGAAAGTAAAAAATAGGTACAAGAGAGAACAAAATCTGAATCTTGAATTGGAATTCCTCCTCACACACTGAAAAATCAAACTCCCAGAGTTTCAAAATGGAACACCAATAGTATCTTTTAAAAAGCAGAGGAAATTAATCAAGAACCTTTTCTTCTACACTGCTGAAAACCTTTTTTTATTCCGAAGAAAGTGATAAAAGATGTGGACACACCACAAGTAGTAATTTAAGAGAAGTTATCCCTCTAGAAAGGGCTAACTAAGGAAGCTGCAAAGAAAACATGAAATTGAATCAGGCTACCCAGCCAAGTTGGAAAATTTCTAGCACGCATTCATTCACGATAATTCTTTCATATGAAAGAAAATGACAAATAGACTAGTGGTCTTTGTGAGGAGGTAGAGACAGCAAAGTACACAAAGCATAGACTAGAGCATGAATCCAGCCTCCCTTGAAAGCAAGGACTGCATCCGAGCAGGAGGCAGTAGGTCTAGCACTTTTTTCCTGGCCCAACTATTATTAGCAAGGGTAAGGGTGCTTGCAAAGAAAATAAACATTCCTCAAAAGAAGGATGTTCTTGGTATCGAAATTAAGCAAAAGTAACATTTTTCTTCCTCCATCCTGGCAATGTGAGTAACAGTAGCCACGATGCAATCCAGAGCCTCTCAGTTTTTTTCTTTTCATGAGCAGTCTTTTTCAAGGAAAGACTATTTCAATATTGTTACATTTTCTAATCTCCCTTAAAAGTAAGGTAGGAATAAATGCAAGGGGCATGGCCTTATATGACTATCCTTGGTCAGGCTTCTAAAGAAACATTTCAAAAAAACATCCCAAAGCATCTACACTGTGGTACAGTGTGAACCCTGCATAGAAGCAGAAGCAAGCACACAATCTGCTCACCGGGAAAAGCTGGCAGTCACCCAGGAAGTGTGTGGGGCCAGCTCTCTGCAGGGATTTGTGAACTACTGTCAGAGTCATGGGGTAACTGATGGAGAGCATGTGTAAAGAAGAAAGATTTAAGAAGTGTTTTTCTCTCCTCTTCACAACAGAGTCCTGCTGACTGGGATGTTTGCTGTTGCACACCTGGAGTGAGTGTTTTTCTCCCCCATCTGCTCCTCAAAATAAACTCCTTTTTATCCCACACAGGGGATGTAAACCCTCGTAAACCTGCAAGAATTGAGACCTTCTCAGGATTCCATGCCCTCACTTGGGTCTTTCCTACTGGTCAGTGGTGAATTCTCCAAACCCAAGACTTACTTTAAATCCTGACTTCCCAGTACCAGGCTGGAGAGTATACACTGTCATTCTGGGAAGACAGTATGTTTGATTAAAGACTCAAGCAGTTCCGTCAAAGTCCCAGCCTGACATTCAGCATTGTTTGGTGGCAAAGAGGCCCCCTAGAACAGCAGAATTCCTGTATTGGTCAGCAACTACCTGGCAATAGGTTCTTCCTAAAATAACAAAAAAACCAACCAAAGTCTAATAGTGGCTGCTGGTATCCAGTCCCTTCTGCTGGAAACAGCACTTAATATGCTATTTTGAAACATGCAGTGCTGGCAGGTTGCACCTGCACTAGTTTTAGGGCTCGCAAGAGTCAGAAAAAACATCTGCATTACTGTTCAAAAAGATTAAAGAATCAGAGGACAGCAACCATAAACTTCAAAAATCATCAAAAAGGCTGACTATCACAAAAACAATTAGAAAAACTAAATAAAGCTTTTTGGGCCTGATCCAAAGGGCCCAAACTGAATGCTGCTCATGCAAACAACACAACCAAGGTATGGTAGTATGCTGGTAAAAGCATGGTGTAAAGGACTAACACTGACTCAGTTAGACACACTGAGACACTCAAAGAACACCTTAAACAAGAATTTCCCCCTGACCAGTTTTACTCGGTTGTAATCCTGTTACTGAAATGGGAAATCTAGAAGGTGTATTTTTCAAATGTCAGTATGAAGTTAAGATTTTCATTTAGTCTAAACTCACGTATTTTGCCAGTGTGAGGTTTTCTGCAAGATAACTAAGTTCTAAAAATCACTCAAAAGAAAAGTTAGTCCATAAACTCTACAGCTCTCACACGCACAACCACCCTCTGTTAGAGGCATTATGTTTGAGTTACTTACCTGAAGGGAATGATAAGACTGGATGGAAGGAAGAGTCCAGCTCTTTCACATAATCTAGTATTTTAGATTCTGCATTGTACTCACTACTACTGAAAGCTGAGGCTGGCACCATACATGGTAACCGAGGTTTGTATGGAAAGGAGGCATCTCTAGATAGTGAAGTCTGCAAGGATATAGAGAAACAAAGGTTAACTTTTCCTTTACTCGCTTCCTTCAAATTAGACCAGAAGTAGGCAAAAAAAAGAACCAAAAACTGAGTGACACTTTTCAATATGAGAAGGAGAAAAATATTCCTACAAACTTTTGGTAGTCTAGATATGACTTACGTCCACTTATCATGGACTATGGCACACAATACAAAGAATACAAAAATACCCTTCTTTTAGGGCCAGGAAACAGTTGTCGAAGTTTCCAGAGAAAATGTAACTGTTTCCAATTGTTATTCTGATATATCCTATGACAAACAAACACCCCTTAAAATTCCATTCCAGCACAATAGGCATGAAATAGATGCACAGACAAAACTAACACCAGGCTAAATACAGGAGTCTCCTCCATTTTGCCCCTTAGCCTTCGCAAGATTCTTAGTATTGAGAACTCTATAGACAGTTTGAGCTCATACATTTTAATGCAAGACACAATATGAAACATTCTGAGCATACTGTGTACACAATGCAAGAGGGCAGAGTTATACCTTGTTATAATTTAAATACCAGGTAAGCAACACAAACAAAAGAAGATACACAGCAATAAATAAAGAGAAGGATGCATTAAGGATTGACTAATAGGTAGTAAGAGCAATTACTAGAAAGAGGAGAGCTGTGAAGAAAGGTTAATTTAGCTGCTTATTTGCAAGGCTTGTTAAAGTACAGATGGTAAAATGATGGATTGCAAAAGACTGGTAGGTGTGAGGTAGCAGGACACTAAGGCAAAAGGAAGGGTGAAAATGGGCAGGAAGAGGCATCAGAGCTCAGGCAACATACTGAGCTCTGAAAGACAGAAGGAAAGAACTGCATGTGATACTACAGGGCAGCAGTCAGCAGCAAACTGTGCTTCACAGTAAGCTATAAAAACACCGCAGGGAAACAGTGCTGCTTATGCCACTTTCAGCATTACTGGATACTAGCAGTAGTAACCCCAAAGGTCCTGACATTTTTAAGGGCCTTCATTGGGTTTTGATACTTTGCCAAATGCTGCAGAATCCTATAAAGGGGAAGGGAGGCACTGGGGTACCTGGAGGGTCTCAGCCTAACGCTGTGCAAATTGCCACATTTAACATCTCCTGGAAATGGATTTAAATGTAAAAATCTGTAACAATGAATACAAAAGTGGTCCTTTTGATTTTCTTATGACTTTTTATGGAATGAAAGGAAAATATCTAGCAATTGCACCAGAGGCAAGATGATCAAATTAACGCTACTTGTATTTTCAGTACTTCTGCTTTCCAAATCCAAGAAATCTCCTTAGCTGCTTCCTTCTACCTGAAATATTCCAGGCTGTATTCTAGCAGTGCCACGCATCTGTTAGTGATGCAGTGACTATATCCACCACATAAAACCCACTTCCACTTACTGAATCAATGCTTCTGTCAGGTGGCACCAGTATTCACAACCCACACTAACTCAGAAAATATCCCATTAAAAAGTTTTCCTTTCCATCTCTTCCCTTCTCCTCCACCAACAAGTTCCCTACACCGGTATCGTATTGCAGCAACTATCAAAATCAAGTAAGCATGCCATGATGCTGGAGCAGAGAAGACCCTGTGGTGGCAGGGTTGTTGTACCGCACTTTTTTTTCCACAGGAGAACATTAACTGTTCTAAATCCACCTTGATGTCCATACGCAGGTGTATGCAGAAGTACTTTCCACTTAATTTGCAAAAAAACTCTTTTCTAGCCCAGGGTTCCTTCAGATCAATGTTCTGTCATTTTCCTGCAACAGACACGTGGGACTCTTCATCTGTTTAAACATCTATGAAGTGTTGGAAGAACTGGGACCTGTGTTTGGAAACACTAGATGGATAAATGCTAAAGTGAATTTAATGTTTCGCATTATATGAACCGCTGAACTAAAGCTTAAAGAGCTTTTAGTTAGTTGCTCTACCTTCAGTATAGTAAGGGCATGCTTTTCAAAAATGCACAAAAGCCCATTTCCTCTTGCTATTTGGTTTTTAAGAAGTGAACTAGTTTCCTGAATCTCCACTATTTAAGCTGCTACTGCACCCCTTCTGCTTGCCTTTTTTTTTTTTTACAGAAATGAACCCACATTACAGCAAATGATAAATCTTTCATTCTTTACAAAGAAATCCCCAAACACTAATCAGTAAAATAACCTAGAAAATATATAGGTAAGACAAACACAGACTGACATCCAGTCCTTTAGTCCAAACTCGCTTTTTCTTGTTTTAATTCACTTTAGTTCCAAACACATTTAGACATTTAGCTTAAAGCTAAGTCTGCTCAAAAACATGCATACGCTGTCAAATAACCTACACGCTCTCCATATATTTTGAAACAGTATTCACATCCATTTGCCAGCATTGGTAAATGTAAAATTCTTTTCCTCATCTTGTCTGTCGTGGCAGTTACAAAATCTTATGCCTGAATTTGTGCATTATTTCCTTGAATACTCTGGCATCAGCACCTGAATAATTTATCTTTCATTAAGTCAGTTTGTAATTCAAACAAAAATAAGGACTTCTATGGAACCAAGAGTAATTTTATTTAAATGCCTGTGAAGTTACCAGACAAAAGCTAAAAAATTTGGCAGTGTCTGTGTTTCTAGCTACCGGATCTGGTTTACATTTCTGATGGAGTAGTTTTCCACTGGAAAATGCTGAATTAGTGAAATCATGATGTTTGTCACGAATGTCGATTTAATCAACTCTTGATGAAAAAATTTCTGAAACCCTTCATTCTGGAATGAAAGCATGTTGCTCAGTCAAAGAAAGTGCTTCAACCTTCCTGAAACAAAACTGAAGAACACCTTATTGGAAAACCAAACTCTCCCCTCTTCCAATTCAGTATAGAACACAGTCTACAACCCAACTTGCTTTTACAGCAGTTAATTATTGATTTTGTAACACAACAACAAAAAATCCACCAAAACCCAACTGGAAACAACCCCACAAATATATCCCTTCAGCCACAGCAATGACAAGTGGTTTCATGAAAACCAAGGCACACAGCTTTTGGAAGACAGGCCTGTAAAGCAAGCCTGAGCACAATGCCAACCCTTCAGAAAGCTAGAGAGGTTATTAAACTCTTATCAGTTTTTTCCCCTGCTATACTATACATCGTACATCTCCTAGAACACTTTTCTTCATTACTGAAATACAAAACCTCTTGCTTCCCGAGCTTAAGTAGATATGAAGAATAACGTTACATCAAATTGATCCTATCAAGGAAAAGAAAATAGACTGTATTTAAGAGGAAATCAGAAGTGTGCAAGCTTTAAACCTTCAGCTAAAATAGCAGCTCTGTTTTAAACTTCATAAGGAATGAATTTAATTTTCTAAAGTGTTATGAATTTTAATCTCAGATTGGTTTTTTCCTTTAGTACTGTTTTACTGGGTCACAGAAAATACTGAACAATTTATTTTGATATTTGAAACAATTCTTGCACTTGCTTGTGATAAATTGATGCATTAGACAAAGCTCGACTGCCTCATGCCTGTGTTCTAGAAGGGTCAGAAGGCTGAACACTGCCAGCCAACCATCCTGCTGCAGAAAAACATTTGAGTCTACAAAGCGTACCGTAATTGAAAGCAAAAATGTTTTGTGCTCCCAGTTAAAAATTCTGTGAATATTCGTTCCATGATTTCAGCTACTGATCACTAAAACACCTACCTTTTTTGGTAACATGCCTAAATGTAACAGTACAGAGCGCCACAGTTCAATTACACCAATGTGTATGAATCCAGTAAGTTAATTAACTCACCTACACTCTGCTTAATACGTGTCATGTCTGTTTCTTACTCTTGTAAGCCAAAAAAGTCAAGGAAAAGCATTTATTCTCCCTACACACACACACTCAGAACTTTTCAGCAATATCAAAGAGCTGTCCCCCTCGATATTAAAAACTGTTTTCCAGTATATGTGTAGCCAACTAAGTTGCAGAGATTTAAATATCCAAAAGATAGTATCTTTTAATTTGCGATCCAAAAGAACCACCATGTGGGTGGCTGATGCCTCTTATTTAAACACCAAACATGCTGCTAACTTTTAATCCTCCAGAAGCCCTATATACAGCTAAAATCAACAGAGCACCATGTTTTTCGCTTGCTTCTGTCTTAAAGAGCAGTCCACCCCTCTGTGGCCTTCCTCTTCTACATAAACCGATCTGCTCTGAGCAGAGCTATGTCCCTCTGGCAGAACATACAGTTAAATGAAATATCTTATTTCACAAGATAAACATCAGGAGTTCCCTAAGCAGGACTTCAGAGTGATTGTATATTTAGGAAATATACAATACATAGATAGTGAAAGGTTAATCCGAAAAGTCCCAAAGGCTTCCTCTCTCATCAACAGGTAGTGGGGGGAGAAGATGGGTAAAGCATCCAAGACGTGGGAAGGTGCAGAACAGTTGGTGCCGATGATCCATGCTATATGACAGACTCTTCCTTCCAGATGAAGTTTCTATAGATGTCAAATGGACGGTCCTTTCTCATGTACTTGTCTGCAATCTATACACAGGTCAGGTACAATGAAGCAAGCCACCCTGGGATGTAAACAAATTTATCTGCATCTGGCCCCTCTGAAGCTGTCGATAATGTGGCAGATCATGTGGCAGAGACCAGTTTTTCCAGGAACAGAACTGAGATTGTCATAAAACACTAATGACAACTTACTCAGCATCCAGCTTGTCTCAAATTGAGATTTTTGGTCAATGTCATAAAAGAAGTGGTAGCTTCTACCGTTCTTGAAGAGCACACACCTCTCATAAATATACATGGAGTTTAGTTTCTTTAATCCAATGGGACGTGCTCTTTTACCGGCTCTGTGGAAAGTGTATGCTGTTCTCAATATCCTGAAACAAAGACCTTTTGTTCAACTAGGAAAACAATTGAAAAACCAAGGTTAGTAACTAATCTTTGACCAGTTAAACCAAAAGAAGGACAGACATGTTAATCCACAGGGCTATCTTTTCAAAAATGCCATGTAG